TGTGTGTGTGTGTGTGTGTGTGTGTGTGTGTGTGTGAGAGAGAGAGAGAGAGAGAGAGAGAGAGAGAGAGAGAGAGAGAGAGAGAATGATGACAAGATAACAGGTAGTTTATAGATTGCATAATTTTTTGTATGCCATGCCATTTATTAAGATAGGGACACTGAAAGATGATTTCTTTTGTGAAGAAAGTTAATGGAAACACATCAAAATAACAACTAAATTATAAAACAATCAACCTGGAGAACCATCTGAAGTCTAGCTAAATAGAAGTTTTATAACTAAAGATATAAAGAAAAAGCCACGTCAAGACTGGTAGGAGAAGCAGAGATGTGGAACAGGCTGGCCCCAAATATCCATGTGGTGGAGGAAAATTGGGAGGGATACCTTGGCTGCAGAAGTTCCCTGGGAGGAGAGAAGGACCCTAGCCCCACTCCAAGCTCCCCAGCCCGGAGTGCTGGTGCCAGGAAGAGGAGCCCCCACAACATCTGGCTGTAAAAAACAGTGGGGGTTCCAACCATCTGGGTGCGACAGAAAGCTGCAGGGAACCCAGACATCCTCTTAAATGACCAGCACACAGACTCACTCATAGACACTTACCTTGGGTTCTGGTGGAGGGAGAGTGACTCAGGGGCATCAGAGACACACAGATAGCAGACTGAGGTGTGTGGCTTGAAGGCCAAGGCTGAAGGACAGTCCCATGTTTCCTGTGAGTGGTCCTCCTTTCATGCAGCTGGCAGGCAGCCACTATCTTTAATGTGTTGAGCCCTCCCCCTATGCTTCTGGCCAAATCTGAATCTGATTGGTCAGGTGAGCTCCAGGGCTCTGCTCTGCTGACTCCCTGGGATCCTGCCTCACCCAACAAACACGGAAGGCAGCCAAAATGAGGAAACAAAGAAATACATCCTAAATAAAAGAACAGTAGAACACTCCAGAAAAAGAAGTAAACTAAGTGGAGGCAAGAAAACTACCAGAGACAGAGTTCAAAACACTGGCTATAAAGCTGTTCAAGGAACTTAGTGAGAACTTCAGTAAAGAGATAGCAAGCATAAAAAAGGACATAGAAACCATAAAAGAACCAGTCAGACGTGAAGAATACAATAACTGAGATGAAGAATGCACTGGAAGGAATCACCAGCAGACTAGATGAAGCAGAGGATCAAATAAGTGATTTGGAAGACAAGATAGCAGAAAACAGCCAATTGGAACAGCAAAAAGAAAAAAGAATTAAAAAAAATGAGGATCGTTTAAGAGACCTCTGGGACAACATCAAGCATAACAACGTTTGCATCATAGGGGTACCAGAAGGAGAAGAGAGAAAGCAAGGGATTGAGAACATATTTGAAGAAATAGTGACTGAAAACTTCCCTAACCTGGCAAAGGAAATAGACATACTAGCCCTGGAAGCACAGAGGGTACCAAACAAAATGAACCCAAACAAGCCCGCACAAAGACATATTATAATTAAAGTGGCAAAGGTTAAAGACAAAGAAAGAATTCTAAAAGCAGCAAGAGAAAGGAAAATGATAACTTATAAGGGAGCTCCCATAAGATTGTCAGCTGATTTCTCAACAGAAACTTTGCAGATCAGAAGGGATTGGCACAAAATATTCAACATGATGAAAAGCAAGGACCTACAACCAAGGGTATTCTATACAGCAAAGCTATCATTTAAAATCAAAAGTCAGCTAAAGAGCTTCCTAGACAAGGAAAAGATAAAGGAGTTCACCACCACCAAACCAGTATACAAGGAACATTAGAGAGTTGTTTTTTTTAAGACAGGAAAAACAAAAAGAAAGAAAGATCAAAATTATGAATAATAAAATGGCAATAGCTACATATCTATGAACAATTACTTTCAATGTAATGGAATTAAATGCCCCAATCAAAAAACATAGGAGGGCTGAATGGATAAGAAAATAAAACGCTTATACATGCTACCTACAAGAGACTCACTTCAGATTGAAAGACACACCCAGACAGAAAGTAAAGAGATGGAAAAAGATATTTCAGTAAGAAAAAGAAAGAAAGAAAAGCTGAGGTAGCCATACTTATACCAGACAAAATAGACTTTAAAATAAAGGCAGAACAAGAGACAAAGAAGGATGCAGTAATCCCTCTTGTGGGTATTTACCTGAAGAAACCCAAAATGCTACTTTGAGGGGATGTGTGCATCCATATGTTCATTGCTGCCTTGTTTACAATGGCCAAGATGTGGAGGCAGCCTGGGTGTCTGTCAATGGAAGAATGGATAAAGAGGAGGTGGTACATATATACAATGGAATATTGTCAGCCATGGAAGGAAATGGGTTCTTGCCATCTGCAGCAGCACGGATGGACCTGGAGGGTCTTGTGCTGAATAGAGTATGTCAGACAGAAAGACAGATGCAATGCGATTTCACTTATATGTGGAATCTAAAGAAGAAAATAAACAAACAAACAAATCAGAAGCAAACTCATAAATATAGAGAACATTTTGATGGTTTCCAGATGGGAGGGGTGTTGGGAGTATGGGTGATAAAATGGAAAGGAATTAAGAAGTACAAATTGGTTGTTAAAAAGTAGTCAGGGGGATATAGAGTATAGCACAAGGATATAGTCAGTAATATTGTAATTATCATGCATGGTGTCATATGGGTACTTGATTTATTGGGGTGATATATGGGAGAGGGTTGGGGGGCAGGGTGAAAAAAGTGAAGGAATTAAGAAGTACAAATTGGTAGCTACAAAACAGTCATGAAGATGTAAAGCATAGGAAATACAGTAATACCTCGGTTTGCGAGCATAATTCGTTCCGGAAACAAACTACTTGTATGGCAAGACATCGCTTGTTTACCAAGTTAAAATGTATTATTAAGGCCGGCTGAGTGGCGCGATGGTTAAGAACTGGCTTGGGACACCAGAGGGCCCCGGTTTGGATCCCACATATGAGGGCCAGTGACACTGCCCTCTACAGCTAAGATACTGTACAACAGCTCAACCTGGAGCTGGGCTGC